GAGACAGGAGATAACAAGGTGTAGAGCTGGAGGAACGCAGCAGGCCAAGCAGCATCAGAGGAGCAGGAAAGCTGACGTTTCGGGTCTGGACCCTTCTTCAGGAAAAGAAGGCTGAGACAGGGGTTGTGTTTTGACCTCCTAGCAGTATTTGGGATTTGGGGAAGAAAATAAATCAGGAGATAGAGAAGGCATGTAAGAAAGGCTCGATTACAATGGTGGACCTCAATGTGCAGGTGTACTAGGTATATCGGGTTGGTCGTGGACCTCAAGAAAGGCAATTTGTGGAACATCTATGAGATGGTTCTTTTACAGCAGCTTGTAGTGAGCCCATGAGGGATCAGGCAGTTCTGGATTCAGTGGTGAGGCAGACTAGATTTAGGGAGCTTAAGGTGAAGGAACGCCTGGAGGGCAGTGACCCATAGTATGATAGAATTCACCCTGCGGTTTGAGAGGGAGAAGTTGGAATCAGATGTAACGGTATTACAATTGAGTAAAGGGAACTACAAAGACATGAGGGAGGAGCTGGCCAGAGTTGATGGGAAGGGGAGCCTAGCAGGGAAGACGGTGGAGCAGGGACGGCAGGAGTTTCTGGGGGTAATTCGGGAGGCATGGCAGAAATTCATCCTGAGGAAGAAGAAACATAATAAGGGGAGGATGAGGCTGACAAGGGAAGTCAGGAACAGCGTAAAATGTAGGGAACATTAGTGGGAAGCCAAAGGATTGGGAAGCCTTTTAAAAAACCAGCAGAGGACACCTGAAGATGCAGTAAGGGGGGGAGGAGATGGAATATGAGAGTAAGCTAGTTGGTAATATTGAAGAAGAATGCAAGAATTTTTGAAGATTGTATAAACGGTAAGGGAGAGGCAAGAGTGGACATTGGGAAAGAGGCTGGTGAAGGAGTAATGGGGAACAAAGAAATGGCAGAGGAACAGAATAGGTACCATAGTGGAAGACACCAGCCGAATTTAAAGAGACTCAGAAGGCAGAGATGAGTGTAGAGGCCATCACTAAGGAGAAGGTGCTGAGAAAGCTGAAAGCTCTGAAAGTGGGTAAATCAAACGGACTGGATGGGCTACAACCCAGAGTTCTGAAGGAGATAACTGAGGAGACCGTAGAGGCATTGCTGGTGATTTTTCAGGAATCGCTGGGGTCAGGCAGGATCCCAGAGGACTGGAAAATGGCGAAAGTAACATCCCTCACAAACAGGGATTTTGAGGGGGAGAGGTCAGTAATATTTTACACAGAGTAATTTTCAGGGAGGAGTCAGTAATATTTTACACACAGTAATTTTGATGGGGCTCAGTAATATTTTACACACAGTAATTTTAAGGGAGGCATCTGTAATATTTCACACAGAGTAATTTTGAGAGGGCTCAGTAATATCTTACAGACAGTAATTTTGAGGGACGGAGTCTGTAATATTTTACAGGCAGTAATTATGAGTGAGGGAGTCAGTAATATTTCATACGCAGGGATTTGGAGGGAAGGGTCAGTAATATTTTATACACAGAGATTTCGAGGAAAGGGTCAGTAATATTTCATACACAGGGATTTGGAGGGAAGGGTCAGTAATATTTTATAAACAGGGATTTGGAGGGAGGGGTCAGTAATATTTTATACACAGAGATTTTGAGGAAAGGGTCAGTAATATTTTATACACAGGGATTTGGAGGGAAGGGTCAGTAATATTTTATAAACAGGGATTTGGAGGGAGGGGTCAGTAATATTTTATAC